TATATCTATCTATCTATCTATCTATCTATCTATCTATCTATCTATCTATCTATCTATCTCTTCCTCACCATGGCGCTTTCCCTCGGCGCTTTCTCTGCACGCCCCCTCGCGTGTTTTTTGCCACGGGCCCCGCACCGTCTCCCCTTGGCACACGCAGCGGCAGACACACGACCTTGCGCCCGCCCCACAAATTCTCCTCGGCGCGAATCGACGCGGGGTGACGCCCTGGCGCACGAAATCTCGTGGGCATGCCGTTTTTCCCACGCGCCCTGCGGCGAAATGTGACGGCGTCCTCTGGTTCCGCCCGTGCCGCCCTCACGCGCCAGCCTGCTCCGGTTCTGCCTGTCCCGCGATTTTCCGTGGGCCCACGGCTTCGTGTGACGGCGGGACCGCTGTAACTTTAAAGCGTATAGAGATGAGGGAATCTGTTCGGGGCTTTTTGACGATTGACATTTTGCAGATCGGGACGGCGCAACGCGTGAACTGGAATGGTGACAGCTTCAGCGTTGGAGAAGACAGACATAGCCAGACCCTCGAAGTGTCGGCCATAACTGGGTCCTTCGTTGTGCTCTGGCAGCATGTGGGGCTTCTCAGAGGTCTGGGCTATCGGAGGTCTGCTGGAAGTGGCAGAAGTTGGTGTCCTGTCAAACCCTCCTCAGGAGTAGGGTTCCAGGTAGTGGCGCTGCAGCCATAGCTGCAGCTTACAGCCTCAGATATCTCCTTTGTCAGGAACGGTGGCGCTGCTGCAGATCTTCACCTATGAAGTCATCTGGCACTTCATCTTCATCAAAGACTGTGGCGCTGGTCTTCTTCTTCATCTTCTGAGAGGTGCTTGGCCTCATGAGCCTGTTGCAGGGTGGCGCTGATGGTTTCAGGAGTTCTGGGATAGTAGATAGCGGTTACTCTGGGTTGGGGAGACTATTCTGACAAAACGATACTCTGAGTTTAATAAACAGTGTTGATACTGTGTGGTGACTATCTTTGCTGCATTGTTTTCTGGATGTGATCTACTTGACTTTCCTTTGTGACTGGTTGTGGGGACTCTATGGAGCGAATTGCACTTTCAGTGTGTTCTGTCATATCGCATGGACAAGGCTTCCGCTGTGTTTCATTATCTCTGTGTGGTGTGATACTCCTATCCTCTCCCCTTCCGTCTGTGTATGTACGGTCATACATGGAAGTCTATGTGAGCGAGTGTTGGTCTTCTGACAACAAGCAACCAGGTTCATAAACAAAAGCCTATCAGTTCCTTGCAGGCCTTTCAGTCGTTGACGTCAGAATGTGCAAAGCCATAGCTCTGAGGGGTCACCTGAAGTAGTGCTGAAGAGGGAACCCTCCCTTCTCGCCAAAGGATCTCGGGTTTCCTCTCATGACTTGCTTCAACCCAGACAAATGTGGAAACACTCCACCTGTCATGTGGCAGAAGGCCATAAAACACGCACCTAGCCTTGAACTGAGGTGTCTCAGAAAGGCGTAGAGCATAGGAAGGCCGTATTTAAAGTGTAGCTGCAGTCAGGTGGAAGATACAAAGGGATGCCCCAGGGGACCACTATGGGTGGACCAAGCAATCTGCATGCAGTAAAAAAATTGTGATACTGTGTCGCGTAAAGACGTTAGCCAACTGATCTTCTGCCTGTTTTGAGTGCGTTCTTCATGGTGGTGTTTTTGTTCCTCAAGTGTTGTACGACTCGTGTTTTCCTCACTTGATATCGTGATGTCTTTGGTTTGGTTTTGTTGTCTTCACAGTAGACGATGGTTTGCCGCCGCTCATCTCTGTAGCGTGTAAGTTCACGGGTTGATGTTTTCTTATCAGGAGGAGGCAGAGCGGGAGAACTAGGGTCGTCAACATCTTCATCCGTCATCATAACGACCAGCAGCAGTAGAACCAGCAAAAGGAGTAACAGCAGCAGGAAAGGTAGACGAAGGGGAGAGGGAGGAGGAAGAGCGTCGGCGTAACGAAGGGTAGTGGGAGGAAAGAAGAACATCGGCATGTCAAAGAACGTTTAAGGGTGTCACTGAAAAGTTGTGAAAACTATAAAAATCCCTGAACGTGAATTTTGTGGCCTTCTCAGCGGTTATCAATCAGGTTGCGACGATTCTGAGCTGATATATAAAAACTTCAGGATAAGTTGATGAAAGGAAGGTCACTACTCCCAGGCTTTACCAGGCAGGCAGGAGATCGTTCCAGTGCCCTGAAAACAAGCAAATGCTACAGCTTTTGCCCATCTCATCACGGACTGTTATCCACAGCGTTGTCGCACCTGTTGAGGAACACATTTTTGAAGCTTTTCTTCTCACTCAGCCGACTGGAAAGGGAAATTCCCGCTTACGGTGGTGATGCTGCATGTTCAACACCCCACCCAAGCTATAGAGCAGTATGCATGGTTGTAGTTGTATTTACGAATACTGTTTGTAGTGTTAGTGTTTACAACCACTGACCTCATGTCTCATCATTATTCTTAATGAATAAGACAACCAGCTGTATCGCACATGGTCGAAGTGAGAAATGGGTGCGAAGAGCAGTTCGGTAAACTACTGCAATGTTAGGATTACAACATCATGTTGATTTGAACCGACTCGGCTCAAAGGGACGCATCTGTGTGTGTGTGTGTGTGTGTGTGTGTGTGTGTGTGTGTGTGTGTGTGTGTGTGTGTGTGTGTGTGTGTGTGTGTATCTAGGGTGTGGTGTCAACGGTGCTATCATCACAGGATGGGCGGTTTGCTCTGCAGGTGGCCTCATGGGTGGGCCTTTTCGTATTTTGGTGTAGACTGGACTAAGGTCATGCACTTGTACTATTTTGGCAGAATCTGGCTGTAAGTGCGGTCACAGTGTGCATCCCAGAAAGGCAGTTGGTATGCCCTAAAACTGTTCGTACTGCTGTGGAGCGCAAATGCGACCTGTATGTACGACAGATTGCCAGTGGAGCAAAAATGAACAGTGATAACGACAAGGAGAGTTTGGCTGACTCGCCTCAGCAGCAGTGTCCGAGAACCAGCAGGCGGCCGAGTCGCAGCAATTGTTCCAGCCTCGAGGGTGTTATCAGCGGAACCGGTGGTGGGGCGTTTTGCGGACGGCATGGGTATATGCAAGGGACGGGCGTGGACACGCCTGTGGCAGCACCGGATTTGGTCAACCCTGGGCGACGTCGTGTTTCTTGCGGAGGTGCTTCCCCTGCCTCGTGCGAGTCCCCTCCCGCTGTGTTGCTCACTGCAGCGGATCGACAGAATATTCCCAGCCGAGCCTCCCCTTTTGACGTCTCCGTCGAACGCCTGAGACAAGACATCAAGCTGCGCAGAGGCTTGGCAGCGGGAACGACTGCAGGAGTAGCACGAGCACCAGGCGGCGGCAGCGTCGGGGCCAGAGGAGGAGTGTCTTTTACCGCTGCCCAGGATGCTGGCGGGACGTTAACCATGTTGTCAACCACCTCCCACGGACATTCCAATTATGCGGAGGGTTTTTCATCACCGCCCGGTAGTGGAGGGAGCATGGGAGGTGTGTTGGGGTCTTTCACCTATGTTCAGCTACAGCTGCTGGCCTTCATCATTGTCTTCTCTGCTAGTGGACTTGTGCCGAGGACTGACCTTGTCTTCGTCGGTTGGGTTAGTGTGTACACCTTGATGTTAGCGAAATTTGTCTTCCCTGTCGTGCCCCGTCAACCCATTCCGAAGATCTTGGAAGGCGGTGACCACTTGTTTCATGTGTTTGTGCTTGTTGGGGCATTGCTGGGGGTATTCTTGCCCATGGCATACAGCCTTGGGGGGTTCAGCAGGGGTGATCAAACAGCCATGCGCGCTTCCACACCCCATCTTTTTCTGCTTTCTTGCCAGATTCTAACCGAGAATTTCGTGGTTGGTACCTCCTTCTTCTCTGTTCCCACTCGTGTCCTTGTGTCTGTGATGTATAATGCACGGAGACTCTTCTCTCTGGCGGACTGGATGTCAGCAGTCTATGGACCACCACAAGATGGTCCAGTTATTGTGGGCGCGGGACCTGCTGAGCTCGTTAGGACTTATAGCCCGGACTTGCTTTGGACCTGGTTCGGACGGGCCTTGGCCCTCACTAATATGGTGTTCTGGTCATTCAATCTGTTCTGCATCTTGTTGCCAGTGCATTTGCCGCGGGCCTTTCGAAAGTACTTCGAACAAGAAGCGGCAGCGGGAGCAACGGCCGCTGGCGCAGAAGTGTCAGCAACAGCAGCTGCGCTTATGATTGGTCATCATAGTACTACAGCTAGATTTGAGAGGCACGAAGCACCCACGGCTGCGCCGATGACGCTGCATGCAACGACAACCACCATCACGCCTCATCATCCGAAATACCAGTAATAATGGCCTCAGTGTACAGCCGGTTTCGAGTTTCCTTTTGTCTTCCCATGTATATTTTGACCTTGGCCAATCAATGTACCAACCTTGAAGATCAGTTTATCCCTGCAGATTATCTCATCTCCACCTCAATTGGATCAGCAAACGAGCGTCCAATGACCTTGTCAGGCCTACCCCCGCCACTTCACCCTCTCTCTCTCTCTCTCTCTCTCTCTCTCTCTCTCTCTCTCTCTCTCTCTCTCTCTCTCTCTCTCTCTCTGTAGCATGTATAGAGGAGAGGAGGAACAAGAAGAACGAGAGATGTGAAAGAGCAGGATATTCGAAAGAGGCACAAAGTTCAGAAAACTATAGCGGAAGAGGGTAGAAGGGAAGAAAGAGAAGGACCAGAGGTGTTGCTATAGGATACTAGGAGGGGTGAAAGAGGCACTGTCGCATACCGTAATGGTGCAGACCAGAACAAGAACCGACCTTTCTCACAGAGTAAAGGATAGCGCAGCGGAAGGCTAATATACCAATGATCTGAACCATCAATGTTGCAATGCCGACCAAACATACATCATCATCATTCCATGGTGTGAAGGGGCCTGGCGCTCACACAGGAAGAATGCGCCAGTCCCCAACTATACACAGACGAAGAAGAGGGGGGTTAGATGAAGAAGAGGGAAAGATGGGAATGTCGTCAACACCAAGTCTTCGGTACAGGTCCCAAATAATCCCTCGTCCAATGTCTCAATCCCAGTGTAGAGTCTGGATCCAAATGTCGTCAAGTCCCGAAGTCACCAATCTCTCTCTCTCTCGTAGGCTGCAGATACTGAGAAGTTAGGTGGCGAGAGGGTGAGGGAGAGATGGTGGACTTAGACGAGGAAGAAGAAGAACGCTCTCTCTCTCTAAGTCCGGTACTAAGCTGTGAAGGTGGCGCCTTGTTGCAGGTACATCGAAGACGAAGCTGGAGCTATGGCGCCACAGGTAAGTGTCCCTGGCCTCCGCCAACCATCTCTCTCTCTCCAACGCTACTCTAGCTCCTAATAGCGCCCAGTGCTGAAGACTACTTCTAACGCTACTGCTACTACTGCAGGGCTCCTCCAGAGTGCTGCTGCTGAATCCTGAAGACTGCCTCCTGCCTCCTGCACGTGAAGTGCCTGGGAAGTCCCTATGAACTACCTCGTGACTACCTGCAGCCTGTAGGGCGGGCCAGTCTTATATAGTGCTGGCCCGTCCAGGAGGCTGCTCTTGCCAATGCCAAAACGTGCCAGACCCTGGTGTTGAAGTTCAAACAAAGGTTGTCTTGAAAACAGACCAAAAATGGCCTGTGCTAAAACCCTGGTCTGGTGCCTAAGTTTCAGGGCAGGTCGACTTTATGAGGGCCTGAAAATGGCCCTCGTTTTCAGGCTTTTGGCTGAAACGACACAGGGCCTGTAGGCCCTCGTTTTCAGGCTTTTAGGCTGAAACGACACCGGGCCTGTAGGCCCTCGTTTTCAGGCCTTTAGGCTGAAACGACACAGGGCCTGTAGGCCCTTGTTTTCAGGCTTTTAGGCTGAAACGACACAGGGCCTGTAGGGCCCTGAATTTCCGTCTGGTCGGGCCTTGCAGGCCCGTGTGGCTGCGCAGTATGCCACAGACACAGACACTCTGTGTGTGTGTGTGTGTGTGTGTGTGTGTGTTGTCATGTTCGCTACACAACTCCACAAAATAGCATGACTGTGCCGGACTGTTTCGTCGGACTTCCACTGACTTGTCAGGAGGTTGAACCCGAACAGTCTGCCGGGATGCATTTGACTGATGGATGGATGACTCACCACGCGTGTGCGCGATTGTATGTGTGTGTATTGTAATGTACACATAGCATACAGAGCTATGGCTTAAAACAAACGGCCCGTCGTGCTACCGTAAGTATCTTCACTGCAACCCAAATTACAATAATTGTACTCCCTTGAAAAAATTACACAGAAGCATTTAAAAATATGGGAATCCTCAGCAATTTTCACAGAGTACAAAGAAGCTTTTGCTACTGATTTCGGGGAGAATGATGGTGATTCTGGCATAACGTGGGCGCATTCACAAAGCAACTCAAAGTAAACAACCAGGGGAGATGAGAGAAAGAGGGGGGCGAGTAATGAAACAATAGTCTGGGAAATTTAATTCGGAGGGAAACAGTTGGTCAAAATGCGAATATTAGAATCATTCCGGCGTCTAGCACCGCGACGTAGTTGACCGGCCACCTCATATCAGCAACCAACGCCACGGATCCGGACCAGACGGGACCAGCACAGAACGCTCAACTCCCACCCGCTGTATCCTCATCAGCCGAATACCTCCTCTATTATGCCCACACTGAACTGCCCATTTAGCCTCAGAATCTCCCTCGTCGAAACCCCGCGCCAAGCAGCACCGCCCCCGATCTCGAACACCCTACCTCCAAGCACCCGACCCGATCACATCAATTCTCCTGGCGATGAGTAAACAATGCAAAGAACGCGCAGGTCTCCGCTACGTCCCCGTATCCTCCATCACCAGTTCCTATGCCCATAGGCACTGCCCTATAAAACCAACTGACAGTCCCTTCCACCCGTAATTCTCCCATCATTCATCCAGGCCGTATTCTCATCATCCAAATTCCCCAATCAATTCCCATCAACCATTCAGAAAACACAGGGACACTCCAGCTGTCAGATGCGCAAAGTCCATCACTTCGACTAATGCCAGCAAATACGGAAAAAAGCGACCCAGGAACACTCGAAGAGAAGGAAGTCAACTGCGCGAAGAGCATGGCGAAGGTGAGGTCACGTGGACGACTCGAAGACCCACTGGTGTCTCTGCCAACAAATGGCACTCTCGTACTACCAGGGGTGTGCAAACAAAACGGAGGTGGCAGCTCCCTTAAGCGCTTTCCACTACTGCGCCACACAGTAGATCATCAGAGGGTCCTGCACAAACGACAAACAAGCCACACACACAGCCAATACCACAAACAGGACCAGAGGGAAGGAACAATACCACATCATCTGGTTCCGGCAATCCCTCCATGCCGAAAGGCAACTCAATGTCCTCCATGGCGCTGCGTGCGAAAACAAGCAAATTGCCGAGCTTCGAGCTGCCAAGTGAAGACACCTTCGCACAACCGCTGCTTCAGGAGCGCAGGAGAATGAGGTCGAATCAACGCGTCAACCGTTAGTCATATACTACTGCGGCGCACAATTCGGGGGCAAGGAAATGTTATCTACCGTCGATCAGACCATTCGATCCGACCGAAGAAATGTGGTAGCGGTTCTTCGAGGAGATTCTGGGACCCGAACCTGACAGCGGGACGAAAAAGCTGCCGACCCCGAGGTAGACCATTCCCAACTGGATATCCGGTTCTATTCATGCGTCAGCCAGCTTTCTCAGGGGGAACCCCCCTTTTTTGGTCCACATCAGCTTATCCTTCAGTCCCATGGGTGGCCAGACGGCAGGGCCTGGGCCAGTATGTCAATCCGATGGTGAGCCTCATGCTGGCTTCAAAAGGAGGGGAACGGTACAAAAAACCGGTTATGCCGACCAAACCGAAAAAAGGAGAGTACGGGAGGTCCTTCTTTGACCGCAGCCCCTTGAGAAAATTATTATTATTATTTTGATTGTGTGTGTGTGTGTGTGACCCACCCCTATCCCCCCAGTAGGATGGTCCGGGGCAGGCAGAAGCCCAAGGGGATCTGCCCGCCCGGCAGACCCCCTCTGGGATCCTTCCTTAAAAGGAAGTTCACACACGTACAGCACACGTCACAATCACACCACTACACAAATCATATAAAACATAAAAAAAATAAAAATAAAAAATAAACCACAATATAGAAAGCACATTTCAAAAGAAGGTTGGTTCCCCAGTCTTGAGGATGCTCAGGGTTTCTTCCGGGTCCGCTCTGAAAGGCTGAAACTCAGATTGGCTCCGGAAGACTCTCTTCACCACACCCCAGCATCTCCTTGGCAAAAACCCGTTCTCAACAAACTTCCGAACTGTCTTTCGAATATCGTTAGCTGCATCAGAGGCCTCAGAACAGACAAGCAACGAACACACAATAAGTGGAATCAAGACAGCCAAGGACTGCCTGATTGGCCTGTTCGAATCAAACCGAATGTATGAACACAGTCTGAAATTCAGCTGGTCCGTTTTGTCATGCTTCGAAGTAATGTACTTCCTTGACTCCTCTCATATGACCTGGATTGTCATGTTAAGAAAATTAACCGCATCCCCCATTTTTTTGATGTGCACCTTCTCTTGCGCGTTGATCTCAATTAAATGAAGGGGGTAGATCCAATACGGGTTTGAGTCAGTCATCTCCTGTTCGGGGTCCAGGAAACATTCAATGACACTGTTGTTCAGCGAATTGATGTCATCCATGTATCTTACCGTGTGAACGAAAGCCTCCAATAGAAGCCCATTTCCCGTCACGAGCAACCTCATCATGGCTTGGTACTCGTACTTGAAAAAGTACAAGTTGCACCAGATGGGGGAACACGGGAGGCCCATAGGAATTCCGGTTGCCTGTTCCCACACCCCATTCCCAAACTGGACAGCATTATTAGTCGCCAACCACACATTCATATCCACGATTCTCTCAGGGGCGAGGATCGTAAAAGAGGCAGCCAAAGGGTTGGCAAGCCACCGGCAAACCCACTTCCCATTACCACCTACTTTTACGTCGATAAGGCAGCATGGGTCTGTTCTTTCCCTGTGCCTTAAAGCCATATTTACAAAGAAGCGGACTGCATTCCCCAATCCATGCACACTGTTATCAGTGGGAATCGTCTCAAAACACCTGCTGATGTCGGCTGAGAAGACCGAAGACACATTCATAGGCAAGTTAGCACAGAATTCTGAAATGGAATCGACCGGCCACCAAAGGTTAGCATCAAAACCGTGGAATGACTTGATTAACTTCCTTCTCTCCAGACAGTGAGCTTGGACTTCCTTGCTCAACATGGAAAGAATCTCAGCACAGAGCTCAGATAGTGGAGAAAAAATACAGCTCGCGGCGTTTGTAAGCCAGCGGAAAGCAGTTTTGCGCTGCTTAAAAATGCACATCAGATACGACAGCTTTCTCGGTCCTGCAGGCAGGA